CGTACCTTTACTTTTACTAAGATAAAACTGAGAAATTATAAACTGTGACATATATTTTTTGTTATAATTTATATGTTAAAAATTAGTTTTATAATCTCAAGAAAGAAATGAAGGGAAATTTCATAATTTTTGTATTCCTTAATTTTTCAAAAGATTGAGCTTACTATTTTTCAAAAATTCTAACATATTTATTTAATTTTAAAAGTTTACCTATTATTTATCCCTTTCTAATGGGAAAATGATTTTAAAATTGACAGAGAAAATAAAATTTATACACAACCGTTATGTAATAATAAAATGTTTCATGCTATATGTATGTGTGTATCGACTTTTTATTCTTACGGCTATTTTTTTTTATTGTTATTATCCCTTTAGATTATTATTATTTGTAAATGTGCAGCGTAATGGTTTTTTTTAAACACAATTCTCACGCTTTTGTAGTAGTTTCTAGTGAAAATCTCGCCCCGTTTTTCCGGAAGTCTTTTGTACACGATAACCGTACGAATTAGGTAAAGAGTGTGTGAAATGTGGATGTCAGAGGAAGCAGGGCCAAAGACTTTTATGCTTTAACGCCTCGTCCAAAACAAACCACGACCAAGGTCTAAAGAGAGTGGGAGTACCTTCCAGGTATATATCTATTGAATTGGTCCAATTTTGCCACATTGTACCGTATCCCTAGTTAAGAGTTCATCACCAGCCTTTCAAGGTATTTAAATAATTTTAATAATCTTGAAGATAATTTATTTTTATTTTAAATAGCCAATGCACAAATTCAATTAAATAAAGCACTAAAGAGTAGATCAGTAGTATCAGCGATAAATTTTCGTTCACTTTAGATCTAATTTTGTTATTAAATTTTTTATGAAATTGTTATAAGAGCTTTGCCGATTCATGACCTTATGAGAGATTTAGTTAGATATTTAGAGCATAATCCATAATATGTTTTCTAAACTAATTCTACCTTGTTAAGTAAATTTAAGCTTTTTTTTTTAATTCAAGACTGTAATTTCAAATTCAACATTGTCAGTTGGATCACAAATTTTTGAAACAAATAAAAATAATCGACCATATCAAAATAAATAAAGATCTTTTTGAACATAGATTTCAAAGAAAAATAATTTTCTAGATCAAAGTATAAAAGAAAGATATTTTAAAATTAAGTTTAAAGTTGTAGGATGCTGAAAAATCACAGCAATAAATAATTGATAACATTATTTTTTAATTATTTATGTAGATGAAAATTCTAATTGTTATTTTTGTTTTCCTACTTTTCATTCCAAGGGAAAATGCTGAAACCGAAACAGAAAAATAGCGAACTAGAATAAGAAAAAGCCTGAATTGATTGAGGAATTAGGTTTGGAAAAATTAAAATTTGATTTGAGGAAAGTTCATTTTGATTTTGACAAAGTAAAATTAGACTTGGAAAACGACAGCACATCAACTAAAACTAGGCAATTTCTTTCGATTCATTAACTAGGTCTATCTTGATCTTATTTTATCCCTTTACAAAACCTACAAAAACATAGGATTACCTGTTTTAATTAAACATTTGTTTTGGTGATACTAAGTCGAAAGATATTAGACAGGTGTCTGAGCGTTCTTGCCAAACGGCCATAGTAGCTGAGATATTTTTTTAAAGCAATTTACGTATATTACGTATAGCAATTTACGTATTAAATGTAGTTTTTTTCCGTTGTTGTATATGTATTTCAATTTTTTTTTACAAAGGAAAAGAAAATAATTTCTATAATAATAAGTGAAATAGAGGGGGGTCGGTGGCCGCAACGGTTTAGGCGTTGACACGGCAACCATCACTGTAAGGTAAAGATCCCAGGTTCGAATCCAGCGGCCCTGAATTCACCCCGAGAATTCATNTATTATAATATTTTATATATGATGTTCGTGACTAGTTGCCAAATAGAATTTTGTCATATTGATCAATGTATTTTTTTTTATTGCAAGAAACAAATTTGATCATTGTTTTTTACTCCACAAAAATCTTTAATTTTCCAAATGCCTCCGATTGTTTTTTTTTTCAAAAACAAAAATGCTGACAATTTTGAATCAACTACGTTGATCTACCCAAAAATGAAGTGGCATTTAGAAACCTATACTGCGTGTAATGGAAAAAATTTGATTTCCATAAATAAATCTTCTCGGATTGCTGTGGAAACTGAAGAAATTTCTTCCCAGACCTTTTACCTAATCCTCCAATCCTACCTGACAGACCGATATTGCCGAGTCTGTCAGGGAACATCACTCTCTTTGTATATTCCGGTAAATTCTGTAGTATCTCAAGGAGTATCCTTGGCCCGATCCTCTTTACAATATACACTGCTGGCATTCTTACTTCACATTTACCAACACGGCTATCCATTTTGTCACTTCAACCCATCTGATGTAAGCTCCTATCTGCAAAGTCACCTCACCCAACTAGAAGACCGCAAATAGAGAATCAAAGTGAGCGAAAGCAAAAATGTTCAAGTCACTTCAATTCAAGTACATTCTCACATTGGGTTGCATTCTACTCGCTCTCTATACAGAACCAAGGTATGACACCAAAATGAAATAACTGAAAAGTAACTTAAGTATTTTTGTGAAGACAAAAAGTCATGCAATACATATTTCCTTGGGCCAGGGTTATTTAGCATTGTTTAGCTGACTTTGGCTCTGTTATTAGCCTAAATGCGAATATAAATACTTCTCATACTTTACATTTATTACTAGTATATATAAAAAAAATCATTTATAATTTGCAGGTGGATCCAAACGCTGCTTTACTAAACATTACTGTGCCATTTAATCAACCAGCAATGGGAAAGGCGAGCGGCAATAGAACCAGCAATACTTTGTTAGGTCTTGCATTATCAGCTATTTACCTTAATCTTTCACTTAGCACCGTAAGTTTTTTTTTTTATTTTAAACAAAATAAAACCTAATGTTTTGCTTATTTTTTCAGGCGAATGGAAGTCAGTTTTATCAGTTGGGGCCGATGCTGCCCATCAACCTTCCTTTACCAGGTCCCACCCCTTGGCAGGAAGCCCTTGGCGGATATGCCCTCGGATCCAACTCAGGATATCGCGGTTTCTCGGACGGCTCACGTGACACCGGTGGATACTACAATGATCTCTTTTCTAAGAAAAACGCATATGACTTGGGCAAAGGATACGGGAGTGAGTAAACCTATTCCACCTAAAAAGGACAACAGTTCTGACATTGGGAATTTTCAGATGGCATAGATTACGGGAGAGGAGGAGTCATTGGGGGAGGATTTAGAGACCTAGGTGGCAGGAACAAAGGACACCAGGCTGCCGGATTTGCCACCTCATACCGAAAGGATGAAAGTGGTGATCAAGCGACTTACTACGACGATGGGCTTGGCCATCATGGAAAAATTAACTATGGAGCACATGATGCAAGGTAAATTAATTTATTTCACAAAAATCCCGATTAGATCAGTCAGCTAAGTGGCCCTAAATGCATTAGGATGTAAAAAGTCGCATCCAAAATATTCGGTGAATGCACCCAAAACCTGGGAAACATAACCTAACAATATCTTGACTACCAGCACACAAAGGAATTTGGGGCAATGATCCACTGAACGAATTGGTCAGAAAAGGATCTGAAATATAACTGGGATAATAAGATCAAAAATAGACTCTTCCATCTTAGAAGGAATCCATGAATAAACACAAAGGGAGAAATGGACCAACTCTAGAAGTTCCAGAGATAATAGTTAAAGAACCCTCAACAAAATTTGAAAGTGCATTCCTACAGTTAGGGTAAAAATCATGGAAGTGATACAGATATAAACCTTTCGCTAGCATCTGATCACACCTACACAACAGGGGTGTATTGAATGATGACCCATTTGAAGGTTATGCAATGAGGAGTAAGAAAATGCCACCCATACCATTTTCAAATGCAACTGCTCAATATAGACATAAACAAGGGGTACCAAGGATATATGGGAAAATGGATTGTGGCAATGGCTTACTACTTCTTAAAACAAGGATCGAGTGTACTGACTGAACAAAGGAACAAGGAAAAGTACAAAATGTACTTCTATATTCTTTGTTATGGCCGCAACAGAAATGTGTCTCCCACTGAATCTTAAAAGACAAATTAGATGTAGTAGTCACCGTTTATTTTATTATAAATTTAACTACATGAAGCTCATGGCCGAAAATAATCCTGCCACCCTATCAATTTTTACATTTTTTATTTATGAAAGCGAGGACACAAAAGACCAGCACGACACCAAAGTCAGACTTCTACCCCCTGTTCTTAATCAGTTCTTTATATTTTGTATAAAACACTCTCTTACTCAAAACTTTAGCCCTAATCCCTAGTCCAGTTTATAAACAATGTTTCTGAACAATGAGTAATCAACTTTGTTCTTCTTGTTTTTCTGTTTGTTGTATTAATGTTTCTTTGTACACGGTATCACATAAAAAAGAGATAGTATAGCAAAATCTTTTGCTGAAACAGTAGCTGAGATTATTAGAAAAGTGCACATTCTAATAACAATGTCTGTCTAAATTATTTTTCCTATCATAAGCAATTTATTTTTGAAATCATTAGAAACCAACTGAAATTTTAGGCTTGCAAAAAGCTAGCCAAGCCTCATCGGTTGCATATCCATGCATTCCTATCCATCACCTCATCATTTTCTATTGTTAACATCTTTGACCATCTAATAAAATAAACTGGCAGCATAAATTCTTTCAATAGCCTCATTAGACAATTTCTTGAGAAAACTAAAATATTGCCTTAGGTTGGGCAGTTATGATGATGAAGAGGACAATAAGAAATGGGAGGGTTGGTATTCCCAAAGCACTGCAGATCTGCAGCCTTTTAGCTTAATTCAGTGCACAATTCAATTCTTTGTACTGACGTGTTTTGGGTTATCGTAGTTACAGAAGAAAGCTCAATGTAAATTTATTTTTAATTGTTCTCTCATTAATCCCTCATTGTTGTATATATGCCAATAGCCATTGTGAGACTAAGGCTGGAGGTTAAAACGGAAGGAAGTTTTATCATAAGTTGACAATTGCTGATTAAGAATGCGGGATTTGTCTCTGGCTTGGCTAGGATTGGTGCCTATCATCAATATGTGAATTGTTTTCTCCACTTTGCTGATCAACTCTTTTAATGTCCGTCCAGTTTGGGGAAAACGTGATTTTTATGTGGAGAAGAATTTATTTTTAATTGCGCGCACTTACACTCAATGTTTCCTAACAATTTTTATTGGTTATTTAAAGATACCCACCTTCCAATAGTCCAAACTCTAATGCTTCATTTTAAATCAGGTTGGTACAAACAAACTGAGCCCGAACTTTGTTCAATTAGCTGAATAACCGTAATAATGTGGAAGCAGTAAATCAGAACTGCTTTATTAAGGATTACAGTGTACACACATGTGTAAGTGGAAACATGCACTGAAAGTCAATTCCATCCACATAAGCCAAAGTATAATGCTAAATGCAGATGAGAGAAGGTACAATATGCCAAAAGGAACCTAAAGAAAGCTTCTCACTTTCCGGGCAAGAAGGAACTAGAATCAAAAGAGGACATTTTAGGCCCATTAAGAACATTGAGCAAAAACTGCCATGTGCTAAAAAAAAAAAAAAAAAAAAAACTATCAAACTCTCTACTCCTAATAACATTAAATGAGCCATTACCGCGGCTAGAACGGATGATATTTCCCATGTAGCCACTGCAGGGAATAGAGTACGTATTTTTAGGGCCAGCTATGAATTAAAACATAACTGATATGGAGAAAAAAACCTATATTTTTTCCAAAAACAGGTAGTCACAAAATCAATATGGCAAATAAGTCTGTCATTCATACAGAAGACAATATGCCAAGCTCAAGAGATAACATAGGATTAACATTATCCTACACTGAGATCATGTGAGAGATCACCACTCCATGAGCAATAGCATAACAGTGGCAAATCTGCAGAAACAGCCCTAAATGCACTTGTAGAGCAGGTCAAACAAAAACTGCTTAAACTTAAAAAAAACTGCTTCATGGACATAGAAGGCACATTTGATACCACTTTAAGGCGATATTTAGGAAGCTTCATTCACCTTATAATTGAACTAGTGGTACCAAGCGGGAAGGTTCAGTCCACTGTCAATCCACACATGACAGGAGATGGGTTCTTATGTATTCCTTCCTTATTCATTAAATATTTTTCAGATTTCGAGATCAAGGCGGCTCACTTCGAAGGGGTGGCTATCACGACACCAACTTGAATCGTGCCGCAACTGGAAAAGCAGGACGTTACGGTGACAACTTTGGCTACCGTGGATACTTAGGCCACGACGGAAGTTTTGCCGACGGCCGAGGCGGCTACGGCTACAAGAAAGGATGGCGACACGGCAGACTTCTTCCTCTGGCACCACTGCCCGGAGTTGGCATCCTCAGGCCTCCGCCTACTTTCAAAAGTACCGGACTTTATGTGATTCCTATGCCAAACAAATTTTACTTTGACCACACAATCGCACCACCCGCTTGAGGCTTCATTCCACATATTTTTTCTAAAGGTCTTCATCTTCTATAACTAAAAGTTGACAATCGAACTGCCCAAACCTCAGGATTATTTATTGATAGTTAATTTATCTATAATGAAATTGTGTTTGTCAAAATAAATAATTTATTATTATAAATTATATTGTGTTTCCATAACCAACACCTACGTATAAGAAACCTTGGACAATTATTGAGTATATCTTTTAATGTATGCATTTCTTTGCTAAGGAACCTCATCATAGATTGTTTATATAAATTCAAAAACTTTTAGAATTTATCTAAACACTTATTGAGGTAATGAGAGCACCATTCTTGTTTTTACCATACCAAGCTAACATGGAACTATTTAGATTTATGCAAAAATAACACTTTTTTATTACTGCAAAGAGAAAACAGCTGAAAATTTGTTATGGGTACAGTGATGATGCTTTAGAAGAAAGAACCACCAATAAGTGGTTTGCTCGGTTCAGAAGTGAAAATTTTGATCTGGAAAATGCAAATCACTCAGATCGTCCTTTAACCGTTGCTGGTGACCAAATTCAAGCTTTTGTTACAAATAGCACAACAACAATTGACATCGCATAACATATTCTACACGCTTCTATACATGATATTTGTAGGATATATGTGTTCCTCACATTTTGACTGAGAAGAATTCTCCATCTATGATTCATTCTTAAACGGCTATTTTTAAAAAGATTTATACCTGGGGATAAAAGGTGGGTATTTTACATGTTCAGAGAGGAAAATCCTAAGGGAAAACGCAGCAACCCACCGTTAACAACTCTACAAACCAGATTGGTAGGATTGGAAGACAGTCCTTATGATTTTCCGCCCAACGCAATTGGCGCAATTAAAGTCATCAATGGATCAAAAACAACCGGCACCGGCTAGTTGCTAGGGGATTATTTTTGATCAGGATAATCTGCCTGATATTGCCCCTAAGTGTCTTTGCAGACGTACCAGAAATTATTGGGTCTTAGATTGTGCTACCCCATTCGCCTTATTCATCCAACTTTGCCCCTTTGGATTTTCACCTACTCCAGATTCCATAAAACTTATTAATGTGAAAAAAATTACTTTGAATCGTTTGCTAAGGATTTGTTTTACACGTTTTACGATGACGTTTATTTGCAGTAAAAATGCAGACTACTATTTTAACGCCAAAAATTTCTGTTTTATTAAACATTCCTAAAGACCTGACACAAATGGAAAAGCACATTTTGGATCCTGTCTGAAGGTAAATTTTTCATGAAAGGCAAAGAAAGTCTTCTAAGCATTTAAAAAAATCGATATTACTTGGATAAAAACCATATGATTTTTGTTCTTCTATCTTAAAAAGTAAATAAATAAAATAAAAAAGTAGTATTTCTGTCGATGGGCTCTAATAGAATACAGAAGTTGCTCTTCACCGAGTACAGCGATATGCAGGACATGGTGCTTCTGGAGAGCCCGTTTGCTCAAACGACCAAAGATGGTAGGGGTATTCGCCAGGTGCAAATAGGCAAGTTTAATTCTTTTATATTATTATTCATTCTGTTTAGACTATTGTAAATCGTGTAAAATCCTAAATTTGGTCGATAATAATTCGATTGTATTTAAAAAATCAGCACTCAGTCCAATTGTAGTTCTTATTTTTAAAAAATGATCCTGTAGGAAACAAATTTAATGAGACAATTAATTATAATTGAAAGCTTGGGCAATTAATATAAGCAAAATTCTTCTGGTTGATAGAATGGGTGATATATTGAGCCAATTGATTGCATTTTTAAGTCAAAAAAGTCCTAATAGGTCTGTTTCACCTATAAAACTAGTATCCAATCACATCCTCAAGTTGAAGATGAAATGAGCTTAGGTGCAAAACTGGTGAGGGACATACATCTACTTCAAAATTTATATGGATGGAAGCGAAAAAAAAAAAATGTTTGCTGTTTGATGCAGGACAACAATGGAAGGGTAACTCACATCAAGGAAATAGTGGCTGGCATCATGGTATAGCTACATCTAGGTATTGCCTTGATACTGCTTCACATGACATCATGGTTAGTCCATAGTCAAGAATGCTTGAAGAGCAGTTATCTTAACAGACATCAGTATAAAAATCATCGAAACCACAGTCTCTGATAGAAAAGATTAGAAATGTAGGACATAAAGGAAATGAGATGGTAGATGCACTAGCCAAAGAAGGTGAAAAGGAAAAAAAGTCAAGAGAGTGCAAACAGTGTAAAATTGTAAAATTGTAAGACTGATCACAGAAGACCCTTGGCATGTGAGAAACACTGCCTTGCTAGATATACCACTGGTAGCTGATGTTGCCATAACTGGTTATACCAGACTGAAAGGGATCATGATTATCCACCCAAACCCTCTTCTATATGGCATCCCTGCTCATCCTCATCCACCATGAAGCATCAGAAATTTTTTTTTCAAAATAGAAAATTACTTGGGGAAAAAACCAGTAGAACCTGTTATCAAAACGTAAACTAGTCCATCTTTCGATCTCATGATGAATCGTTATTATTTACTCAAAATTTATTCAATATTTTTTATTAATATACGTATACATTTGCACAAATCTATTCACTTGTTATTTATTTATATTTATCTATTTATTATACTTATTACAAGACAACTTACATTTATTAACTGAATTTTGCTGTTCATAGTCTTGTAATGTAAAATTGGGGACAGGATAGAACCCCCAACTCACATCACATGTGAATTAGAGTTATCCTGTATCAGCGGTTCCCAACCTTTTTCTGTTTTTACCCTTAATATATCAGAATTTTTGTGGCAGCTCAAGTCAAAGCAATGGTCTATCGTGAACTTTATTTTAATAGCAGTAATTTTCAATTCAGAAAAGGACTGATATATATATAAGCCTCTTATGTTGTCTGCATTTTTATTTAATAAATAATCAAACTTCACTTTCTTGTGAAATTGAAAAACTTGCCTTTTGAAAAGCGATTACGTACTTAATAGCAAAAATATAAAAGCGAATCCTTTTTTGGGGAAATGATATAAAATAAACAAACAATTGCTGCTGTCTTGTTAACATCCATATTGAGATTGGATGGCCACCAAGGTCTTAATTTTTAGGGTTTTATAATGGGGAGGGGTATAGTTTTTAAGTTTTTATAAATATAACAATATAATATATTTTATAGAAAATTTTCATGACACCCTTGTATCACAGCTTGGGAGTCTCTGCCCTATATGAATATCAAGATGAAACCCCAATCAAATAATGTATTTTACAATAAAGTTTTTAAAAAAGTCACACCCATTAATGTTGTAATTAACAACATTATTTCGTAGTTATCTATTTCTGCTTGCAACTTCCAGAAAAGTATAGAGTAAATGTTTTTTAACTAGACAAATTTCTCCCACGCTGTGCATAAAATTTCACTTAAATACTAACAGGCAGCTTGTGATGCAAAAGACACAAGTTTTCTATTATCTTTAAGTCCTGGTGTGCTTAGTATGTAAATCTATATACTTTATGCAAGGATTCCATTGGGGTGTAGATGGCTGCAACGGTTTAGGAATTGACTCTGTGCTCATCACTGTAAGATAAATGTCCCTGGTTCAAATCAAGTGGTCTTGCATTTCAAAAAGGGATAAGATTTCATTGGAATTAACAGAATCTATTTATAATAAATATTTTTGCATGATATTTTGAGTTGTTATTCCCCTCCTGACTTTGACTTTGTGTTGTAAAATTGTTTCAACTTTTACTATGATGTTAAAATATTTAAAAGTTGAATTCATCAGACTACCTTATTTTTTAGGCATAACACCGAGTAAATTATTGCTTGCAAGCGATTACTTAGAACAAGATGATCCAACGTTAAAAGTGGATCCTGAAATTTCTACCCTCGAACTTCTTTCCATGCTTCCAATTGAGTGTGTCAACATATCCGTATATCGGAGGAGAACACGGAACACCATAAAAGCCCATTTTTGCAATGATCAAGTTTTATATTTTGAGCTTGCATGTCCGAACCGAAGAGAAGTATAAATTTTTCAGCATTTGAGCATAGCATAGCAATATAATCAATTTATGTATAGATTAGGTTTTTGTAGATGTTTTGGAATTTGTGGTGTGAAAGAATAAAGTTTTTAGCTCCAGATTGTACAAAATGGACAAAGTCTGAAACAAGTTTCGGGACCTCTTCATCACACTCCTGTCACCACAGACCGTCAAGACAACACGTAAGTGATGTATAAATATTAACGTTTTTAAAAATAAATATTAATGGCAATATAATAAATTTAGTGGCATGATAGGAATTTGTATTTGGGAAAAAAAATTTCACAATTAAAGCCAAATTTGAATGTTGACACAGAAAAATGGGAGGAAGCCTCTCAATATAAAGAAATTTCTGAACGGTACTATTTATTTCAATCAATCCCATATTATCATTGATTTTTATTTTATTACAATTTTTTTTATAAAGAAAATTTGTATTAATACTTTCAGACCGACAGTACAAACAATACAACATGTCAATAGATTTGGTGCTGGGATTAACGAGAACTGTGCAGCCAATCTTTTCTTATCGGGAAAAATTGAAAAACCTGTTTCTGCTCCTGCCTATTGTAGTGGAAAAAAGCAAAACGACGAGGTAAGATATATATTTATAACAAAATTATACAATATTTAATTATTTTGTAATATTGCTTAACATATTTATTTAACAATGACCTAAATCAGGTTAATTTAAGACAATTTAGGCCATGTTAGCCAAGCCACTCCTAATTAACAAAAGCCATTTTCTATTAGTATGAACAAGTAGCACAACCGAGGAGAACTTGTGCCTTTCCAATGAATCTCAAAGAAATTATAAAACACAGCAGTGATTGGATACTTGAAGCGGAATAATGATTAATGAATATATAATAGATAATATATTATTAGTGAATGTGTGGGTGGTTTTGTGGCAGAGCATAGAGACCCATTAAAGCAGGTTAGTTATATGCTTGTAGGTGATGGCAAGGCTGGTAGTGTAATATCAAATACCCCGATGTATGCACTACTTCTTTTAGCTGTATATACTGTTTGACAGGTTATGTTTCATTTAAAAGTATTTATTAGTGTGAAAGTTTGAGTATTTGTGGGTATGTGGTGGGATTTAGAGAGCCACCAAATTGGTTTGTTGTATGTTTATAAAGTGAATGATGACGAGGGACTGGTGTAGTATCAAATACCCTGATGGCTCACTATTTCTTTTAACTGTATGTAATGTTTGACAGGTTATGTTTCATATGAAAGTATTTATTAGTGTGAGAGTTTGATTGTAGTCAAATCAACCTACTCTTGGTTCTAGACTCTGTGGTCGTGGGTTCGATTCCCACTGTCATCCCTGTTCATATGCATATGTCATATATTGTCACATGTTCATATGTCATATGCATCACATATGAGATATAATGTTCCTTGGCTAATGGGCAAAGTTCAAAAGGATGTTAAGAAAAGAAAAAATGCCATGAGTAACAGGATTAAAACAATAACAAATAAAAAACTGCATGAACTTTTCTGGTTACCTGCTAAACCCCATGTTCATGAATCATGAAACTCAATCAGTTACTGAGTGATTTGGCTCTCCTGTATCACAGGAAAACACCATATAAAGCTGTATCAAAATAATTACTCAGTAAAAAGAGAAAAATATTAATTTATAATCATTAATCAGAAATTTCAAATTTCAGCCTTTAGATTTGGCTGAAGAAGCAGTAAGAGTTTGGGAGCAAACAGCAAAAATTTACAAGAAAAGAAGGCGATATGGAATAGTTCCGATGGCGTATCACCTTAATGGTCTGGGAACTGTTAATTTTTCCAAGGCAGAGGCTGTGTCCACTCAAGTATGTTAATAATCTCCATTAAAGATGTGGAGCATATATCATAAAATTCTAGATGAGAAGATGGTCCTCAGAATTACGCTTAAATTACAAAAATGAGCATGACGAGTTTGATTTTTGTGTGCAAAAACGGCAATTGGTTTCAAGTCTGTCCTTTGATTGCCTGTTAAAAGAAAAGAATGGCCAAAATGAACTAATGAAGCCAATTCGATGTGGAACCAAATATAATTATTCACAAGGGTTAGCCATGGTATTGCATGAAGGAGGTTGTTATTAATAGTTTACATGTATCCGCTAATTTATAATACTTGCAGTTTTCTTTTGTACTGGACTCCAAAGTATTCTTACGGGCGACAAACACAGTCCAAATCCTACAGGGTATTGCTCAAGCACTTAAACAGTGTGCATCGTCACATAAAATCAACAGGTAAATTTTTTGTTGTAACAAGAAAATTATAAAAACATTGAATTTTAATGTTTAGGTGTACAGAAAAAACGTTTTCCATTCACAATGAAAATAAATAAAAGGAGAATGTAAGTACGTTTGTTTTGTAGTAGAAATTTAAAATTCATTTTGGTTTTATATTTTTTAAAGGGGTTTTTTCGATAAAGAGGGTGGTGGAGATGCTCCAAACAAGTCAGATCCAACTTGTTCATCGTTTCTTATAGATAATTTAGAAATGGACATCACACTTTCAAGTTGGGATTTTGATTCGACTATCTTATCTTACCAACTGACACTTATAGACAGAGATTTATTTTTAAATGTAATAAAGTTTTCCCACTAAAAATCATTAATGATGTACTAGAAAAAATTGCCTTAATTTATGACAATAAATTTAATTATAGATCACAGGAGTTGAATTGGAAGCAATGATATTTGAAAAAAACTCTTCCAACGCTCCAGCTTTCAAACACATGGTGGACTTTGCTGAAAGAGTAAGCAATCTTATTGCAACAGAAATAATTCGTGTGGATTCTGTGAAGGTGAGTAATTTATTATTTGCTTGTATTATTTGTCTGAAATATTCAGTTTTATTTTAGATGCGTGCCAGGATGATGAGTAAATTTATAAATGTAACTGACAAACTCCATCGATTGCACAACATGCAAAGCGCTCATTCCGTTCTAATCGGGCTCCAACATCCTGCTGTGTACCGGCTTAAAAAAACATGGTGTTATCTGAAGCAGCACTATACGACCAAATACCAGTAAGTTTTAATTAATTAAAATAAGAAAGATTTACACAAAAACGGCCTTTTAGGAGACTTTGCCAACTGCTGAAAGTATACAGGGAAACGAGGAGCAAACTGTTTTACCGACTGTTTGAAAGGTTCAGCAGAACCACACCATACATACCATCGATACATTTTCTATGTGCTTCCCTACTCGGCCATTTGCCGTCTGCCCAAAGGCTCTTAACAGCATCAAGCTACCACTCAATTTGTAAATCTTGTACTAGTGTTCATTTGGAAAATCTGTGGAATGTGCAGTCAAAGTTATCTGTATTTTCGGAAACAACAGTTAACAAGTGAGTAATAAACAAGTGCTTATGTACTTTGTTTTTTAAAAATGTTTTTTTATAAATTTAAATTTTAATTCAGGGGTTTGATACTGCATCCATTAAGAGTATAAGTAGTGGCTAGTTCATTGGTGAATATTAAATATATATTCACTATTTTTCGTGGTCCGCTTGACCAGTTAGGGTCTTACAATTAATTAAGGTTTTTAGTTGAGATAAAAAAGTCAGAGTCAGAGCAGGATTCGAACCCACAAAAAATGGCAAAAAGGAGGGAAAATTCAAAAGGTGGGGTTCAGATGGGAAGTTGGAGTCCGAGTGGATTGAAGTCACGATAGCTCAAGTGATAGAGCAGCCGAAGGTCGTGGGTTCGAATCCCACTTGTGTCACTGACTTTTTTATCTCAACTAAAAACCTTAATTAATTGAAAGAAATTAAATATATATTAATTATTAGTATTAAATATTAGTATTTGGTATTAATTATTAGTTTTAGTATTAAATATATGTCTATGTCCACTGACCCCACCTTCATAATTTCAATTCATCATTTCTGGTGTGTATTTGTCGCAGTAATTGCTATATAGGAGTTCAACCTACTCACTGGGTGTTGTGGATGTGAGGCCACACCACTACAATACAATTTTTTTAAAATTTTCCCAAATAAAAATCCAAGGTTTATTGAGCAGATTTGAGATTTGACACCTAACAACTTGACCACTGTGGTCGCTTCCTTGTCACTGGCCATGTTTTGGTTTAAAGTACTTATTAACCATTTCTGAAGAGTGAACATCCTTTGGAATGGTGATCTTCCAATTGGCAGTGGTTTCACCTGCTACCTCTGGTTTTTAAACAAGTGATTTGAGCCCATTTTACCAGAGCCCAGCATGATAAAATAAGACTAATTATGCTCAGATTAAGCCTGGTATCAGAGAGGCCCAGTTTTTATTTTTTTAAATTATTTTTTGGAAGGGTTTAAGTAAGAATTCTAACCTTGTCTCCACTGTGATTGACTACAGATCTGTTGTGGAACTCCCATGATTGTGACCTTGAAAGTGCACTTTTTCCCACAAAATTAAGCTCTTTCCTTGGTTCCTCTTCACACATTTCTCTTTGTGTGAGAATTGCCTTACTGAAGTTGCTGTATCGAAGAGTGAACATCCTTTCCTCTGTGGAATGGTGATCTATCAATTGGCAGTGGCTCCATCTGTTGCCTCTGGTTTTTAGACAAGCGATTTGAGCCCATTTTACCAGAGTTCAGCATGACAAAATAAGGCTAATTATGCTCAGATCAGATTTAGCCTGGTATCAGAGGGGCCTAGTTCTTATTAATTATTCATTTATTTTTTGAAGGGTTTAACTCAGAATTCTAACCTTTTCTCCACTGTGATTAACTACAGGTCTGTTGTGGAATTCCCATGATTAAGGCCTTGAAAGTGCGCTTTTTCCCACAAAACTAAGCTCTTTCCTCGGTTCCTCTTCACGAACTTTTCTTTGTGGGGGAATTGCCTTACTTAAGTTGCTGTATTGTGCCCAGGCTATTGCTTCTAATTCACAAAGTATACAGGTTATTCTTGACAGAGCCAGCATGTTTCTGTCCCTGCCTTGCCTTCTGTAGGTGATAGTCCATATGCCTAAATTTTCCTCAAATCTTGCCTGCTGAGAAAGAGGATTTCCATCACCTTCCTTTTTGCTAGATTATAAATCTCTTACTTCGTCTCATACCTGTACTTTTGTCTAGTGCTTCACAATTTTTCTGTTTCAAGCCATTTTTCCAGCTCTAGCTTTAATACACCCTCAAGCTTGCGCTATTGCGATTCCAGTCCCATGTGTGTTACTCATGTTACTTCAATGTTCATTGAACCAACATTTAAGTGACTTGTGCTTTCCTTTGGATATTAGACTGGTTTAGGCATTCCCAGAATAGTTAAGAGCTAAAAGCCTACACATTTAATGCCTTTATAGCTGCCTGTCCAAAAGAAAATAGAGACACCTTCTTTACCAACTCTGTTGGAAGTTTTCAGCTGGCATTGCATCAACTACAACTGCATGCATAAGTACTGGTCTCATTTTTAAGAATTAATTTATTTTATTTACTTAAAAGAATTACTGAAAATAAATATATATAAAAAATTACAGTTACTATTCAAATAACAGTGGTTTTTCCAATCAATTAGTCCTGCACATCTTTGCTATTTTGGTCGTCTGATGCATTTCTGCAGAAAAATATTAGCTTGATACACATTTATTGTCTTAAATTGTTTAATTAAACTCAAATTGTCTCAATATTTAGAAGTTCTCAATTGTCGACTGATTCAGAGGGACTGATCAAACAATTAGACTCGTACTTCCGACTGATTTGTGAGAGTGAATTTTGTGCCTCCCTTCGTCTTGAAGCGACCAGAGAATCACTAGCAATGTGGCAAGAAGCAGTGGCCGGTTATGACCTAATAGAGAATCATCTAGCGAAGGAGTTCCTCCTGAAAGCGAGATACTCCGAAGGACACGACCTTCTTCAAATGTCCGTGAATATTGAACCATCTGAAGAAACAAATTATAAAAAAAAAGTTGTAAAATAATAAATTCAGCTTTATTTACATAACGTTTATAAAATTTATGTACAAATTTAAAAAAGTTAAAAATCTTCGGGAGCTTGCATTTTCACAAGAGACTTTTTACCCCAGGTCGTTAAATATGGACACATAAATGGGGAAACGACTCCGTTGTCATTGCACTCCTTTATTACAGGGCAAACTCCACAAGGTAAAGAGACAAGACCAGGAGAATCGACAATTGAATTAACAGCTCTATATGTGTAATCACCATTTAACGTGACTCGCCTTTCAACTTTACCATCATACAACAACGTATCTAAAATGGTTTTTATATCCTCTTCAGATAAAGGTATCTGAAAAAATGAAAATGTTTAAGTATTTAATATTAACAAATTATTCCAGAAAAATAAAGATGCATACCTTGCTAATTCCGAGATCAGAAATAAATTTACACACTTGCTTTGGATGAACTGAAATCTGGTTGTAAAAGGCAACAGGTCCTTTTTTCACATTTGACGGGTCCATTTCATATTTTTGTTTTATTTCTATCAAATACCTACAAGAAGAGAACTTTTTAACTTCTTGGACTGTAAAAAGAAATTTATTTGTTTAACCTGTAACATTGTTGGTTTAAAACATCAACAAATTCAGACTCAAAATCTTGATCGCTATACCAAGAGCCACCCGTTAAAGTGCTATCTGGCTCTAACTCAAATAACATATAAACTTTTTTCTTATAAGCCTGCAACAAAAAGTGTCTGATATTAAGTACAAATAAAAACAAAAGTACAAACGCAATGCTTACAGTAACAGATTTAACTGCCTTAATAATCTTTTTGTTTTCTAAACTTTTCAGGATTTTGTTTAAAACAGTCGGCTGTAGATTAGATTTCAATCTGATATCCCTCATCCAGATCCCTTTGTTACCGGCTTCTTTGACAATTTCGTAAACGATTTTCTCTTCATTGTCGGCGCCTTTGAGATCTGCTGGGTCACTGTCTGGAGTCCTGGCTTTATAAGCGATTTTATTTCCTATTTGATACACATCGAGTAACCTCTGGAGGAAGAAAAATACAACAATAACTCTGCAGCTATAATGTAAAGCAGTTATTACTTTTGCAATGAGCCTATTGATGCACGCAACCCTCTGCTCTCCTGGTAGATTAGGTAAAGTTTTAACTATGTCTTCGTCAAAGCATCCCTTTGTTCCTGCTGCTGCAGCAATTGAGAGAATACTGCCAAATAAAAAACAAAAACGTGTTTTATTGCATTGTTTATACGAGTTAATAAATTAAGACAATATACAGGGTAGCCCCAATCGATTCAGCCACACTTCCAGATCTTATAGGAAATTGTATGCTGAATAAAAAAGGTCCTATCCTGTGTCCACAAACCCTTCAGCTCCAAGCTACAGGCAAAAAACCATGAAAAACCACGTTTTTTGACCTTATTCGTGAAATTTTTGCTAAAGCGTTAGCCTGAGTGTAAAACAGCTCGCAACAACATCTGTAGAGGATTAATTTCTGCGTCGAATGAGATTAAAACCAGCCTGTTCGGCCAAAAATTTCATTTTTGTTGATTATTCGAAGTTAGGAGGTGAAGGGGTATACAAAATTCACCATTTCTAACATTTTTATCGAAAATTCACAACTTGAACACCCTATCAAAAAATTCTCCATTACAAACCTTGTTTGTTGGTTGATTGAATTCTCCGTCACATTAGACCAACCCCAGTCCGATTCATGAAACATTCGAATTTTGGCTAATTTACTGTTTTTCACCCAAATCGAATGGTACTGTTTTCCCCCTACTGATTGAAATAATGTACGAAAAATTTGAACGGCTTACTTAACAATTTAGAAAGTGTACGCATCTTTTAATGAACATTATATTTTATTTATTGTAAAAAAACCATTATAATAGCTGCTTTATCATAAAATTAATTTTTAATCATGGTTCAATGTACCATCCTCGAGCAGTGATGCATTGTCGGCACTGAATTTTTCGATAGGGCGTTCAAGTTGTGAATTTTCGATAAAAATGTCACATATGGTGAATTTTGTGTACCCCTTCATCTCCTAACTTCGAAAAATCGCCTAAAATGAAAGTTTCGGCCAATCAGGCTGGTTTTAATCTCATTCGACACAGAAATTAATCCTCTACAGATGTTGTTGCAAGCTGTTTTACGATCAGGCTAACGCTTTAGCCGCTAACGCAACAATTTCACGAATAAGGTCAAAAAACGTGGTTTTTCATGGTTTTTTGCCTGTAGCTCGGAACTGAAGGGTTTGCGGACACAGGTTCATAGGACCTTTTTTATTCAGCGTTCAATTTCCTATAAGATCTGGAAGTGTGGCTGAATCGATTGGGGCCACCCTGTATAGATGTACTGATCATTTGTGGTCTGCCTACAGGCACATTAATGATGGCATATGGCAAAATGCAACTAATATACCAACCTAATGGAACCAAATAAGGTCTATAATTGATAATGACAACGAACCTTACAGACAACACAAAGAAATCTCATCTCAACTAATTTTGCCTACATGATCTGACAAAAATACAATGTCACCATCATTTTTTTTTTAAACAAAAATATTCATTCTAGTTGATAAGACTTTATCAAAATTAAAGTAAAAGCAAATTATTTCAGGATATTACAACGCTGAAAGAAAATTAAAAATAATAGTTTAATGTTATGAATCTGGCCAATATTTTTGATGTTTATTACAACAGTAATAAACTTACTCCATTTATTTTGAAACATATTTATGTAATTTTACAAATATGTACTGCACCGTTTTGCTATGTTGCCATTTTTCATTTCTATTGAGCACCCTGATTGTGATGTGAATAAACTGGTTGAGAAAGTGCTGTGCTCCAAAGAGTTCTGAATAATGAGGTTGATTTCTGATAGTACGCCAAGCCAAGGCACAACACATATTTTTTGCATCAAATTATTATTATTTTTAAATATGATGCATCTTACTGTGCGGATGGGTTTTCTTGTTGCAAGATGACTTCATCTTAGTCAGTTCTCCATTTTCAACAGTTGGTTACTAAAAAATTTTGACTTTTTTTTTGGGGGGGGGACAAACTATTAATATACAGAAATGATAAAAATGATAAATAGAAATAATAAATGATAAAACTTTTAAAAAGATTAAAAAAAAATTAATATATCTCAATCAATTATTCTTTTTACGTAAGGTCTTGGTTGGGATGAAAACGATAGTGTCTCGAGCGCGATTCGAACCCATGACCTTTGGCTTAATATGCCGCCCCTCTAACCAGTCGAAGACCGTAGGTTCGAATCCTGCTCATGACACTAACTTTTTCACCTGAACCAAGACCTTACATAAAAAGAATAATTAATTGAAATAATTAAAATGAACAATCAGACCACTAAACATAAATGGATGTTTTTACATAGTGTCCTATCACAGCCAAAACTGCACTCTATCCCCGCACATTTGATATTTGCTTAAAAGTATTTTTACATCTTAAAAAGGACCCTTAATGAGCCCAAAACCAAACTAGGATTCTAGTTGGACTATTGACAGGGCACTGCACCTAAGAAGGCACATGCCCGAATAGGAGTACAGAAGAAACACTACACAGATATTGCCAGGACGAGGACACCACAGAACATTCTATGTTTCTGTGAAGGTCTTTTAGATGCAGATTCGTGCAACTAGGACAAGAAAAGCAAGATCCTACACAAATGAGCAGCTGGCAAAGCCGTGGAGGTTGATTGGGGAGGGGGAAAAATTAGTCCTCTAAACATAAATGGATTGTCTTATACCTCAATCCAAAAACACAAACTTCCAGAACCTGATACAAAACAGAGCTTTAAGTTTAAAAGGTTTCCACTCTCTTTAGACAAAATAACTTTTTACAAACAAATAACGCGCCTAGTGAATGGGGAAGGTGTATAATTTTGTCCGAAAGAAGAGTGTAATGCAATATTTTAAAATAAAAGTAATACTACATAAAAATATTTTTTCTTGATAAATGGCATGAAAAAAGAAGGATGAATTCTTAAAACTCACATTTGCTCATTGGGATCGGACTCAGGCGCTTTCGACGTCGACGCCTTTTTAACACTCATCTTCTGTAGCTGTATCTTTGGGTTAAACTATTATAAACTATAAAATTTAATAAAAAGTCAATTAGTATTTTGATGGGCCATTCATGTTTTGGCCAGAATCGAAATGAGCACGTTGACAACTGGAGAAATCTTAGGAAACCCCGAGGAGGCTATAAAGTGATAAGAAAGAGGGAGGTTATTTTAATCAACCACGTTCTTGGATAGCTTAACTTTTTAGACCTCCGTTTCAGTTTAATTAATAATTTTTAATTAATATTTTATCAGTCTTCGTAAATATGAGTTATAGGAAATTATTCTCACGTCTGAGAAACTTCACCCGCCCTCTGAGAAATTATTCAGGCCGGAATATGATGAGGGTCGCCGAGAGAGGGATGATAAACGATATTTTTCCTAAAACAGCGAGGTGTGTATTTTCAAAAGGGTTTATAAAATATTTCAGAGATGTTTAATTTAAAGTGATTTTCAGCCAGGACATCATAGACCTGTGCAACGCGGCGCCGCAGTGCGTCTATGCCGGCTTCGACCCGACGGCTGACAGCCTGCACATCGGTAATCTCCTAGTCCTTATGAATCTGCTCCACTGGCACAGAGGAGGTCACGAGGTCATCGCCTTGGTGAGTCTTACTAAACAGATACACTGACAAGCAAAAAAATTCCACCTACTTGTAATGTAACTTGATTTGCATATAGATTTATATATTAATCAAAGTTTCACTGTTTTTAACGTTTAATATGTATATGTACAGTTTATGCCCTTTTTGACCCTAAACATCAATACAAGGCACAACATTCGCTTCCAACTTCAATGTCTGCTTATACAGCAGAACTAATTGCGATAGATAGCGCTCTCGATTACATACGAAAATTGAATGATTCTAAATTTTGTATCCTCACAGACTGTCGAAGCATTGTAGAAAGAATAAATAACATTACCCCACAATATAAATGCAGAAACTAATTATATTTTTGCCCAAATCTGTAGGAAAATGCTTGAGACAAAAATCATGGGAAAAAGGGTGGCATTGTGTTGGGTGAAAGGGCATGCAGGCTTATGGCAAAATGAAACGGTGGACGCACTTGCAAAGGAGGCTGCAACATCAGGTCCAACCCTTGACATTAAAATTCCTAAAGATGACGGGAACATTTTTTTGGAAAAGTTTTGTAGAAATCTGTGGCAAGAAAAATATTACACATCAAATGTTGGCAATTAGGTCACTATTCCCCGAGCTCAAGAAAAAAACATGGTTTTCGGAAGGCAATAGCCCAGAAGGAATGTCAAAGGAGTTCTATTCTCTTATTTTTAGACTGAAGACAAATCATGGCCTATGGGGTAGTAACAAGAAGAGAATCAGTTTGGCATCGTCTCCGAACTGTCCCATTTGCGATTGCCCTTCAAATCCTTCCCACATAATTTTTGAATGTCCAGAATACGAAAATGAAAGAGACAAACTTCTAAAAAATCTGAGCAAATTCCCAAACATTTCCAAACCAATAAACTTAGAATCTGTCCTAATAAGCAACAATCCATCAGCTTTTAACATAATCTATGGATTTCTAAAGTCGATAAACGTTTCTTTTTGATTATCTTCAACCATGAAAATTTAGAAGGCAAGAAGATGATGGAGCTGAATGAGTGGGGCGGGCGCGCGGCGGGGACCTGGTCCTGGTCGGCCGTTCCCGCTCGACAGTAAAATGAAAATAGAAAACTTCATGGGTAATATGCCAGCGTAAACCCCCCCCCCAAAAAAAAAGTTTAATAATTGAGTCTTTGTTTAAAAAAGTTTAAAAAAAAGAAGAAATGTAAATTGCTAAGAAAAATGAAAAATGAAAAAAAATGACGGACAGATAAAATTTGTTTTAGATTTTTAATTAACATTTCAATATAGCATATTTCCTCCTCTAGCCTTCATTACATCTTGAAGACAACTCGGCATACTTTTTACCTGTCGCTGGAGGTTAGGACGTTCTTCATGTAGTCTTTTCATAATCGTGGAGTGTATCATGAAGTGATGGACATGCTGTAATTCGTCTTTTGAGGTTATCCCATAAATGTTTGGTGGGGTATAAGTCTTGAGAACGGGCTGGCCAGGATAAGACCCTGATGTTATGCTGTTGAAGGTCCGTTTGTACTATGCGAGCGACATGTGGAAGGGCATTACCATGCATTAGAATAGGAATGCCGCTGATTTCATCGAGTATAGACAAAGCATGATATTCCAAAATTTCATCCACATAGCGAGTGGCCCTCAAAGACCCTCCACGAACAACAACCAACTCTTTGCGACTCTCCATTGAAATTCCCTCCCACACCATCACTGAGCTACGTCGAAAAAGTTGACTCTGGGAAAAATTGCAGGCTTCGTACTCTTCATTCCACCTTCTTCACATTCTTTCACGCTCATCTGGAGACAGTAGAGCAAATGTACACTCTCTGTAAAAAAACATAGCAGTCCAATCGTCCAAAAATCAATGNAAAAAAAAAAAAAAAAAATTAAAAAAATAAATAAATAAAACGTTTAATAATTGAGTCTTTGTTTAAAAAAGTAAAAAAAAATAAGAAAGTAAATTGCTAATGAAAATGAAAAAAAAAAAAAGACGATGACAAAGATAAAATTTGTTTTAAATTTTTAATTAACATTTCAATATAGCGTATTTCCTCCTCTAGCCTTCATTACATCTCGAAGACGCCTCGGCATACTTTTTACCAGTTGCTGGAGGTTAGGCCGTTCTTTATGTTGATTCCTTTCATAATCGTGGAGTGTATCATGAAGTGATGAACATGCTCTAATTTGTCTTTTGAGGTTATCCCATAAATGTTCGATGGGGTTCAAGTCTAGAGAACGGGCTGGCCAGGCTAAGACCCTGATGTTATGCTGTTGAAGGTACGTTTGTACTATGCGAGCGACATGTGGAAGGGAATTTTTGTGCATTAGAATAGGATTGTCGCTGATTTCATCGAGTACAGAAAAAGCATGATATTCCAAAATTTCATCCACATAGCGAGTGGCCCTCAAAGACCATCCACGAACAACAACCAATTCTGTGCGACTCTCCATTGAAATTCCCGCCCACACCATCACTGAGGTACGTTGAAAAAGTTGACTCTGGGAAAAATTGTAGGCTTCGTACTCTTTATTCCACCTTCTTCACATTCTTTCACGCTCATCTGGAGACCGTAGAGCAAATGTACACTCTCTGTAAAAAAACATAGCAGTCCAATCGTCCAAAAATCAATGGCTCTGTTCTCGAGCAAATGTGAGCAACTCTGTGGGTTCTGGTCATTTCTGGTCCTCTGAAGCCATCAGTCCATACTGATTTAATCTTTTCGAGAAATGCATTCAGAAATTTGGAAAGCTTGAACTTCGTGAAGCTGATGAATTGTTTGAACAACAGTAAGGAGCCAGTTTCGCAAAATTCTCAAAGTCAAAATATGACATCCTGTAGTTCTCCTTCCTTGGGTCTTCCCTTTCAGGGCAAGGTCGAAGGAAGCCGTTAAGCACAATAAGATTTCCTAAACTTGCATCCCATTTGAATTAGTTTAGTGGCCGTGGTCCCCGGTAGGTATGGCAGGGAGGTGGATGGGTAAAAAAAAAATCCAGTAGTTCTGTTACCCTAGGGCATCCAGAACCGGGCCTTCTATGGTAGGATCTTTCTTGAAAACGTCTAACAGCATCTCGCAGAGTTTGTAAAGGAACTTTGATGGCAATAGCCGCGTACCTGATGGAAAGTCCATCATCAAAAAGTGCCACACCATGCGCAACATCCTCAACACTAACTGACATTTTTAAGTTTAACAATTGAAATTAAGAAAACAAAGATAAAAACTAGATAGTTTATTGCTTTAGAATTCAAATGAGATTGAACAAACATTTTAAATTCTGTAGAAAATAAAAATTGAAAAATCTTTTATCCTTGATTTGGATTAAGGATTAAGTGTGTTTACCTCTAATTGATATTCCCTGCTTAAAACATACCATAAACAAATATTTATTGGTAAAAACAATGAGCCAAATTAAAGGCAGAATTTTCTTTTATTGAGAAAATGAAAAAATCAGTTGGATGGAATTTTTTGCCTGTCAGAATGTACTGAGCCCTTCATTACATATTTTCTGTCCAGCAAAATTTGTCTATCCTCCCAATATCTAGAGCAGGTGTTCCAAATCCTCATAAATCAATGTTATAGGTTCCACACAAATTAATCCTGCATTTTTATTTTATTTTATGCCCGTCCCACAAATGCCAAACTAAAACATGGTTATTATTGGACTAGGGTTGAAATTAAAGAAATAATATAAAAAAAATAGAAGGGAAAAATTTGTTCATACTTTTTCACCTGTTTTTTTAGTCCTTTCTATTCTAAAAAGAAAATAAATTGAAAAAATTGAGTTTTTGAAGGAAAACTTCATTATCTGCAGAATGAATTAATAAATTTTTGATTTTCAGAGATAATTTTTTTAATATAAAAAAAGGACTTTCAAAATGTATAGAAAAAATAAAATATGAATGTTTCAACATCAACATAAATTTTTTTAAGATTGGAGGAGCCACAGCACGTGTAGGTGATCCATCTGGCAGGACGAAGGATCGGGATGAACAGCACGAGCAGGTGGTCAGGGCAAATGTAAAATCCATTGCTGAAAACATCAAAAGGGTTTTTGACAACCACAAAACGTATTTTTTTAAGGATGACCGTCCCCTCATCCCGATCAAGTATGATTTTACTTTCTCCTTGTTAAAGTTAGATTCTCTTATAAGAAAAATTCCAGGGTAGTTGATAACGCCAGTTGGTATAAAGAAAAGAACGTGGTGGATTTTATCTGTACTGTAGGTAGAAATTTTCGAATGGGGACTTTGCTGAACCGTTCTTCAGTTGAGGCCAGATTAGCATCAGAAAATGGAATGAGTTATACAGAATTTTCATATCCGATTTTTCAAGCTTATGACTGGTTACATTTGCTGACACAGTACAATTGCAGGTTCCAGGTATCTAAACTATAATTTAATTTTCTTTTAATTGTTTTCTTTATGGGAGTTCGCAGCAGCATTATTTTAAGTTATTATAAAATAACCGAAGATGATAAATTGTAGAATATAAGGAGAGTGGTAATGTTAATGTTAATTTAGGTAGGCGGAAGTGATCAAATGGGGAATATCATGTCTGGGTATGAATTAATAACTAGGATACATGGAAAACCTGTATTTGGTAGGTGCTTCTTTCTATCCATCATGTTATGAGCAATCAAAATAAAATAAATCAAAATAAATCATTTATGGTAGGCATCACAGTTCCTCTCATTACAACAACTTCCGGAGATAAATTTGGCAAGTCGGCAGGAAACGCCATTTGGCTTGATGCGGGAAAGACTTCACCTTTTGATTTCTATCAGTATTTCGTCCGGTGTCCTGATGATAAAGTTGAAGATTTGCTCAATTATTTGACATTCTCACCACCTGGAGCTATTAAAGAAATGATGAGAGTCCACAGAGTAAATAATTAATCATGCAATCAAATATTTGAGTTGCTGATCTATTGAATTTCAGTCTAGGCCCGAAGATCGAACTGCTCAAAGATTTTTAGCTAAACAAGTTACTATGCTTGTCCATGGAGGTAAGAATAAATACGATAGGACCTAATAATTAAAATTTTATTTTGAGTGGAAATTTATTTTATAGAGGAAGGATTGACAAGTGCACAACGTACATCAACTGCAATGTACAGCAACGATTTAAAAATGATATCAGAACTTAGTGCAGATGAGGTGTCAAGTGTTTTCCAGGGAGCTCCGATTGTGGATATACTTTTGCGCCCTGGGATTACGGTCAAGCAGTGTGCCCTTGCTGCCAAATGCTTTCCAACTGAAAGTAACATCTTTTACCCGTAGATGATTATATCTGAGGCATATAAAAATACTTTTGTTCCAGATGATGCAGATCGAATAATCACCGCTGGAGGTTTTTACATGAACTACAACAGAACAAAAAATCCGGAAGAGCTGCTAGTTCCTGGTGTTCACATTTTACCAAACAATGTTAGCCTTCTAAGAGTTGGTATGTTTCACAAGATCTATGAAATATTTATTTGTTCAATTTGTACTTTACTCAAATTTGTACAGGAAAGAGGAACTTCTGGATAATTAGATGGCTGCAGTAAAGAAAACCCAACATATTATTAATGTACTAACATAATCAAGTGATTGTAAATTATTTTGTAAATATAGTTGTATTTTTTTTTTTTTAATTTGTTTGTTGTTCAAACAATTATTTTTTGCTTGCTACCTACCAGGGGTATTGCCATCACTTCGTGTTTTCACCACCTCGTTTTTTTCTTTTCTTCTCCTTTCCTCTTAAGGACAACAAAAATTGTTCTCCCATAGGAAGCCTGGCAATCTTTTTGATGGAACTTCTGGGACTTGATTTCTGCTTGTATTTACCCCTCCACATGTGGTGAAAAGGCTATTCTAGGTTATTCACGCTAATAAATACAGTCATAGTGATTACCTTTAATACCACAATGAACAGCTTAAAATTTTGGAGCCACTGGGGTACTAATATTCCGCCTGTGCCTCCCTCCTTTTACTCCAAAACACCTAACCTAAGCTAACCTAGTTTGGTAGATCTGTGGTGTACTCTATATTCCGCCATACTCACCTGCACATACCCAACTGCTGGCCCCAGATTTTAGAAAGCTATTTAAACTGGCTTGATGCTAGCAACAGTAGTTGGTGCTGTATTACTGCAGGAAGGTAATAGAGGCACTGATCACCCAATATGCTATTTTTCAAGGAAATTTATTTGCACACAGAAGAATTATTCTACCATAGAAAAGGATTGTTTAGTATCTTTTCAACACAAGCTTTGAAATTTACGTGTTTTTATGTAAATTAAAAAAAAAGTTTTTGAAGTTTGAAGGGACCGCGGTAGCCGAGTGGTTAGCATGAGAGACTCTCACGCCGCGGTCGTGGGTTCGATTCCCACCGTCGCCTCTGGCCCTTTTTTCACAATAACCCCCCCAAATTTGAGCACACATATATGAATTGTCACATGGCTAATATGCATAGTTCATAACGCAAAAAAAAAGTACTGATTGTCTGATCCTTTTTTATCAGACTTCAGAAGTTTAATACTATTACTGAATTAACAAAACAGTTTCACGAAAGTTGTTCAATAAAAATAACAGAATTCTTTTGGGAATGTGATGTTGATCGTTTGTTAGAAAGAATGGTATTGAAAATAGCATGGCCTAAATACGATTGCACCTTTTTTCCTGCTTTAAAAATAGAATAGTTACAACATTCTTGTGTATCAAACATTTAAAAGTACTCAGTACAGCATAATAGTTTAAGACAAATTATTTATACCCAATAAACATTCCTGTTTATATTCCATAAACAATAAACATTAAAATCGAACCGGTCCAAATTAATCAGCGAAAAATATAAACCAATCTACTTAGAGTAACAAAGTTCTGTCTTCTCGCAATTAGGATTCATGGAAAGACGTGAGAGCATATGAGACAGGGCTTACTGCAATTTGTCTGGAGTAGAAATGGCAAAATATTTGTTAAACAAAGCAAAAAAGCTTCACCGAAAATAATTACATCGAAAGAAGATTTGTTAGTTTTTTTAAACCCCAAACCAGTCTGCTACTAAAACATGTCGCTGTTAATCTGGAAATGAATCTGATTGATTTATTCAAAACGCCAACATAAGCTGAATTCACTGGCACTGTTACTTCTCAAGTTACAACTGACGATGCCAACTGGAACTCGAATTTTGGTACATAAACGGTTTTTCTTTTGTTTTCAGTTTATCCAAAAACGAATTTTCAGTTTTAAAAAGGTTATGTATTTTTGGTTTTCATTCATTTTTTTTTTAAATTATTGTAGATTCCATGCATTCATTATTATTATATATATTTTTTCTTTGTTCTTTTTCCTAAACGAGTTTTTTATTAGGGTTTATTCCAAAAAGCGCGTGGTTTTTTATTTTTTTACAAAAGGTATTACCTGGACGAAGACAATTATTTCTCACTTTTCTCTTAAAATTGCGCTCCTTTGAGGGGAGACAATTTTTGGTTTTACAGGATGAAAACGCAGTGGGAGAGGCACAACCCCGAGGGTTTCCTGATAATGGGCGAGAAAAAGCCCTCAATATAAAAAAACCATGTTTTTGAAATAAACTAACCTTTTGGAAAGGCATAAAAAACCACGTGCTTTTTGGAATAAACCCTAATAAACAAAAAAAAACTACATTTAGGAAGAAGAAAAATTATGTTTTCTGAAACATGGCTTCACCAGAATAATTTTGTTTTACCTAATTATTTAAAAGAATATGATTTTTTCAAAAGCTTGTAAATTTTTAGCTGAGGGCGAGCTTCAGCAGGCTTAATAATTTTTCTGCAATTTACGATTACAAGACAAACCCACGATCCTGTTATGAGGCGTCTTATGTGTTCATTTAGTAGAATATTTTGGCTTTTTTGTTTGTAACGGTCATTCTGTTCGTGATCATTGTGTGTTCTTTNAAATTACATGGTGCAAAAATGCTGATTAAAAAAAAAATCTGATATTAGGACTCCAAGTCCAAAATGTACCTAAGACTTTTTGGTAAAATACATGTTGTCTAACGAGTCAAAACAAATATTTTATCTTACTCCTCGTAATTGTAATCCCCTCATCCAAATACGTTAAATTTCTTTAATTCAAATATGGATAATAGTAATAATTGGCAGAGCTGTATGCGATTTTGCACGCTCTCGAGGCGGTGCGGACCGGGGAGGGCTCAGCCTTCCTCGTAGTACCGATTCTCTGAGCGCTGTCTGGGCTATACGCGACGCGTTCTCTGTGGACCCTCTCTACGCGGAGCTGGAGCCTCTCGGAAAAACGGTGGTTGTTTTCTGGATTCCCGGACAAGTCGGCCTGGAGGGTAACGAACGCGCGGACGAGGCGGCGAAAGCCCGTACGTCCCACCCTCCAGATCGGATCATCGCGATCAGGCTCCCTGACGCTAAACACGCAGTTAAAAATATGATAAAAGAAAGATAGCAGCGTCAGTGGGCGGGGTCGTCGGAGAGGCTCTTGCGAGTCAAGAGCACGACCGGTAGATGGCCCTCACAGAATCTGAGCAGGAGACGAGGGATCGTCCTCACCCGACTGAGGGTTGGCCATACGCGGTTGACACATGGGCACCTGCTTTTGGGCCAAAGCCCGCGCAGGTGCCCCTTATGCAGAGAAAGGTTGCTCGATGTGTCCCACATAATAGAGGCGTGGCATGCCTTGGCTCCATACAGAGAGCGTGTAGGGATGCCGCCGGACTTAAGAAGAGTTCTCGAACACGGTAGCGAGTTTCAGCGTCCCCTGTTCCGCTTTTTAGGAGAAATTGGGTTTTTTATTGTATATAGTATGTCTTATGTGTTCTGTGTATATATGTTTTGTCTGAGTGCATGTATTTATTAGCGTGAATGGCGAGGGGTGAGGGTGAAATATAACGTCATCATCACCCCTCGAACGATGAGAGCGTAAGAGTGTGTGCTCGGGGTCGATGGCGGAATATTTATAAAAGTACTCCATCGATCCCAATCTAGATTAGTTTGAGTATAGGGTCGATGGAGGAATATCAAGTAATCCACCGACCAAACGGAATGAGTGTACTGTATGGATGTATTTATGTGTATGAATGTATCTATTTGTATGAATGTAGTGTTTGAAAGTGTAAATAGAATATAAACTTAGTTGGGGGCTGAAATGACCTAGATGTCGGAAGCCCCAGTCAAAAAAAAAAATTTTTATTCTGTTTCGTTGTTCGCTTGGCCAAATAAATTATTTTCAATTAATTAAAGTTTTGGTTGAGATAAAAAAGTCAGTGTCACAAGCGGGATTCGAACCCACGACCTTCAGCTAAATATACGCCGATGCTCTCTACTTGAACTATCGCGAATGGCAAAAAGGAGGGAAAATTCAAAAGGTGGGGGTTGAGATGGGAAGTTGGTGTCCGAGTGGATCGAAGTCACGATTGCTCAAGTGGTAGAGCAGCGGCGTATCTAGCTGAAGATCGAGGGTTCGAATCCCGCTCGTGACACTGACTTTTTTATCTCAACTAAAAACCATAATTAATTGAAAGCTATTAATTGGTCAAGCGGATCACGAAAACTAGTGAATTTGATATTGAGGACATTTATTTAATTTAATTTTAAATTGATATTTTAAAACTCTAAGATTATAAGTGTTTAGAATGTTAGGGTTGCTGAAGGATGAAATATGATCCCTTGGTTTAAGATCATAACAATATCTAATGCAGGAATGATAAGCAATTTGAAGGTGATGAGCAGATTGAGAGTCTAAAGAAAGTGAAAAAATAGCGGTACAGCAAGAGAATAAAGGAATTACTGAGCTAAAATTCATACAACAAGCAAGAACAAATTATGTGTTTTGAAGCCACAAAAAAGGATACAATTTACAGTGAGCTGTTTGAGACACTTTTTCTTTATGAACTAGCACATTTTCCTCTTAGTATTTCATGGAGCTTTTTAATAATGGTCGTGCCAGGGAGTCAAAAATAACGCCGAAATTTTTAACTTATAATGCAAGAGCATCAACAATAACCATATTTCGCTGATTGGTTGAAGCGCAGAACACGCCGGGAATTGATAGAACCATGGCAGTCTCTCTTAGATGTTTCCTGAGGTCAGAAGTTGTTCTTGATCGAAAGAAATTTGCGAACTTGAGCAATTAACTTGGATTCATCGCTTTCTCAATTTACAGTTTTTGTTGACTTCGTATCACACTTTTTTTTTTCAACGCCAATGAAATTTTTGTTTTTATTAATGAATGCGTTTGGTGATTTGTTTCTTGGTTAAAAATAATGTGCTGAAGCACGACAGAGCCGACATTCTTTTGTTGTTATTCTTTTTATTATATTTTAATTAAAGTATATACAATTGTAATCAAAGTCTATTTTTTAATTCCTTTGCCTTCTTCGGACGGGAAAGATCCACAAGAATTAGGCCTTAATTTTGTTTGGTTTGTCAGTAACACGACATAGTCCGTCATAAACTTTAGGACAAAAATTAATACGATATAGGCGTTGAAGGAGGTGATAGGCAATCTGCACTAATGGATTTTTTTGAAATTAATAAGGACTGGGATTTGTTGGGGTTCAAAAGAATGCCGTTGTTTCTTGATCGTTGGTTGAGATAATGAAGATCACGGTTGAGCAGTGAGATAGCTTCAGAGATGTTG